ACTGGTGTGTGCAGATTGCAAAGGTATGCTCTGCAGGTGCCCTTTGGGAGCAAGCCTATCCCCACCTTAGGATGGGGAGGTTTCCTGGGAGAGTATGGCTAGAGTGTGATTCACGCGGATGTTTTATCCCAGGGGATGAGCTACTTGGAGGAAGTGCGGCTTGTGCACAGGGACCTGGCTGCCCGGAATGTGCTGGTCAAGAGTCCTAACCATGTCAAGATCACAGACTTTGGGCTGGCTCGGCTGTTGGACATTGACGAGACAGAGTACCATGCAGATGGGGGCAAGGTTAGCGAAGGGAGTAGAGTAAGCCAAGGTGGAATGGGGTCTGGGCCCTGGAAGAACTCTGAGAACAGCCACGTCCCCACACACCTAGTTCGAGGACTTATTCCTCTGCTCTCCCAGGTGCCCATCAAGTGGATGGCGTTGGAGTCCATTCTCCGCCGACGGTTCACCCACCAGAGTGATGTGTGGAGCTACGGTGAGTGGTAGGGAGGGTTGGGAGGAGTGGCCAAGGAGCCATGGCCCTGTCCATGGTGGGGATGTTGGTGGAAGGATGAGAGCCATGATGGAGAACATTAATGGAGACACCTTACCATGAATGGGACAGCAGGGAGGGGCTGCCAATGCCACAATCTGCCAGGGTCTGTATGCATCCAATGTCCCCCCTACAACCATTACTTCTCATGGAGACTCTATTTTCCCTAAGAAGGTTTCCTACTGCCTTCCAACACATCACATCCCTTGGTGCCAGGCTCTTAGACAGAGCCTCTGGAGCTCAGAACACTAAAGCTCCCCCTGTTAACACCCCCCCTTAACCCTGTCTCTGCCCCAGGTGTGACTGTATGGGAGCTGATGACTTTTGGGGCCAAACCTTACGATGGGATCCCAGCTCGGGAGATCCCTGACCTGCTGGAGAAGGGGGAACGGCTGCCCCAGCCCCCCATCTGCACCATCGATGTCTACATGATCATGGTCAAATGTGCGTGGCTGAGCTGTGCTGGTTGCTTGGAGAAGGGGTGGGAGGTTCTGGGTGGAGGGGCCTACAAGGGGCATGGGAGGGGGCCAAAGGCAGGATGTATGTGGACCCAGGGGTCCTGGTATGGTTAAAGGAGTCTCAAAAGGGTCTTGCTTCTCTTTTATAGTACCAGTCCAGGGAAGTTCTAGAGGATCAGCTAGAAAAAGACATGCAAAATAAAAAGGGCAAACTTACAGAGATTCTCAAAAGTCCTGGTACCTCAGCTCTACCACACAAGGGCTTGGGGCTCTAATCACTAGACCAGACTGGAGAGGGAGAGGGGGTAGGGCTGCACACAGGCTGCAGCGGAAACAGATGCTGAGCTTCCTCCTGTCCCCAGGTTGGATGATTGACTCTGAGTGTCGGCCTCGGTTCCGGGAGTTGGTGGCCGAATTCTCCCGCATGGCCAGGGACCCCCAGCGCTTTGTGGTCATCCAGGTACTGGGCCTTTCCACCTTGTCCCTGCCTATGACTAAGCACATTCCTGCAGTCTGCAGTGGGTAGAAAGGGAGGTGACTCCTGGGTCCCAGGCCTCAAGCCCAATCCTTACCTCTTGTACCTCCCTGAGCCATCCTTAGGAGGCTAAGCACTGGGCTGGGGAGAGGCTGCCATCCTCTGTCTCCCTCCTCCCCAGAATGAGGACCTGGGCCCTGCCAGCCCCTTGGACAGCACCTTCTACCGCTCGCTGCTGGAGGATGACGACATGGGGGACCTGGTGGATGCGGAGGAGTACCTGGTGCCCCAGCAGGGCTTCTTTTGCCCAGATCCTGTTCCGGGTACTGGGGGCACAGCCCACCACAGGCACCGCAGCTCATCCACCAGGGTCAGTGCCCTCCATCACACTGTGCTGGGTGTGCTTGGTTACCTCCTCCAACCCCAATGGACTAGGCTCCCTTTCTCTAATGTCCCCCCCCACAACTATTACCTCTCATGGACACCCCATTTTCCTTAAGGTTTCCTACTGCCTTCCAACCCATGACCCCATTCCATTCTCTTCACGGTAACCGTCATACCCTAAGGGTGACCTCTGTTTATCTCTTATGACCCTGTCACTTCTCATGGAGTCTCTATCTGAAATCCATTAATAAGCCCCATCATGACCTTCTCTTTTCTCCCCAGAGTGGCGGTGGTGAGCTGACACTGGGGCTGGAGCCCCCCGAAGAGGAGCCCCCCAAGTCTCCACTGGCACCCTCAGAAGGGGCAGGCTCTGATGTGTTTGACAGCGATTTGGGAGTGGGGGCAGCCAAGGGACTGCAAACTCTCTCCCCACATGACCCCAGCCCTCTACAGCGGTACAGTGAGGACCCCACGGTACCCTTGCCTCCTGAAACTGACGGCTACGTTGCCCCCCTGACCTGCAGCCCCCAGCCCGGTATGGAATTCAAGCCTGAGCTGAGAGACTGGGAGGTGGGGAAGTTGGGGATGCTCAGGTCAGCCCAGGGCTCACTGGGGAAGTGGAAGTAGCTGGGACACATGGATTCCTTCCCCTAACAAGCCCCCTTCTCTTGCCCTTTCAGAATATGTGAACCAGCCAGAGGTTCGCCCACAGCCCCCCTCACCCCTAGATGGCCCCCTGACTCCTCGACCTGCTGGTGCCACGCTGGAAAGGCCCAAGACTCTCTCTCCTGGGAAGAATGGGGTTGTCAAAGATGTTTTTGCCTTTGGGGGTGCCGTGGAGAACCCCGAGTACTTGGCACCCCGTGGCAAGGCTGCTTCTCAGCCCCAACCTCCTCCAGCCTTCAGTCCAGCTTTTGATAACCTCTATTACTGGGACCAGGACCCATCAGAGCGGAGCTCTCCACCTAGCACCTTTGAAGGGACCCCTACGGCAGAGAACCCTGAATACCTGGGACTGGATGTGCCAGTGTGAGCCAAAAGGCCAAGTCTGCTTAGGTCCTACTGAACCCTTGGGGAGTGGGAAAGGCCTGACTTCTGCTCTGTGTCAGGATGAGGTGGGGAGAGGGCCCTTGGACCACATCCAGTGGAGCCTGCCAGGCCAGAAACCTTCCTTCCTACTCCAATTCCCAGCTGGCTGAGGGGTCCAGCCTGGTTGGAAAAGAAGACAGCACTGGAAAGTCTTGATTGATTTGGAGCCCTGCCCCAGCAGACTCTAGGGGCCAGTGGATGCCACAACCACAGTCTTCTCACCTGAGGGAGCAGCCCAGCCTGGCTTTCTCCTTCCAGATCTCTGGCCTTGAAGGACTTAGGGAAGCTAGACCTAGGAGGGGAAGAGGCCTGAAGGGAGTGTCTAGGACAAAAGCAGTCCATTCAGAGACTGTCCTTGAGACCCAGCTCTGCCCCTGGAAGAAGGGAGCAGCAGTAGCATCCAGATCGAGTTCTGTACAGAGTGCTTTTTTTTGTTTTGTTTTTACTTACGTTTTGTGTGTGTGTGTGTGTTTTTTAAAAAAAGATGAAATAAGGACTCAGAGAAAGAGGGTACTGTGGAGGGGGAGGTAATCCCCGGGGTTGGGGAGAGATTTCCCTTCTCCACCCCTACTTTCTCCATCTGCAAATATATTTTGGAAAACAGCTGGGTACCAGCCTATGTCTGGGGGTGGCTCTGTGTCATCCCCTACTGCTTACCTCCTCACACTCCATTCATCTTTTCCTGGAGGGAGTGGCTAGTAATCCTCAGGAAACTTGAATGAGAAGCCTATCTTCTAGCTTCCCGACTTTTGGGTTGAGGGTGGGGGTGATCAGGGAGTTGGGATTATCTGAAAGCCCTTTGACAACCAAATCATTCTTGCTGAGAAAACCAAATTCTGAAAAGCCACCCACCAGAATGGGTAATTTCTTCCTTGTGGGTAGGGGGAATAGGGGAAGGAGTGAAGGAAAGAAGAGACAGTGTCTACTGTGTGACTTTTCTTTGCCTGGCTATGACAGAGATCACTGAACTAGAGGTACTATCCAGAAAAGGCCCACCCACCCAGCACAGCCACCCTGGTGGTATAAAGGCTGGGTCAGCCTCTGTGCTCCCCCCAGCCCTCCCCCCACAACATACTCCCAGACTGGACATAAAAACACAATAGTTGGCACAGGTGTTTGTAGTGCCACTTTATTGCCAATAGCTGACATTGTCTGGGACTAGTGAAAAATAAATTAGGACTATGGTAACATCTGACAGGTATGGCTAGGCTGGAGAGAGGAGTGGGCTTTTGTGAGCACTGATCCTGAGAAGCACTGATCAGTCTGAGGTGGCTGTGGAAGTGTCAGTGGAGAGGCTCTCTCACCCCTGAGACCATAGAAGTTTCTATTTCCTCCCAGTATCCAAAGGGGCAAAAAGGGAGGCCAGGGTCTCTTAGCTACCAGGGGAAGAGGCAATGGAAAACCCTTAGCAGGACCAAAGGGAAGACCAAGGCTTGGACTCCAGACTAGAGCAGGAACCCAGAATCCCAGGTAGTCACAGGATGATGCAGGGAGGACGACTGTTGGTGATCTTTTCTAGGGGTTCTCCGTTACTGGCTCTTCGGATGGCCTCAATAAGCTAGAATGCAGAGATGTGGAATAGAATGATGCATTGTAGGAGCGGGGTGAACCAGAGATATTTCCAACATTGCAAATACTCACATCTTTCTCATAAGGGAAGCCCCCATTCTCCAGTTTGGAGAACACCAGCTGTCCATTGATCTCGATCTCAAAGGCCCCTGGTATTAAATAAACGGATGAATGAACTGTATGCTGAGAACAGGCAAGTTAGGTCTTCCAAAGGTGGGCCTTCCACACTCCTTAGCATTAACACAAGCTCCTTCTTGTCCCCCACGAGCTCCACTAGAGACCTGTAGCCATTTCCCAACCCTGGGTCAAGCCAAAGGAACCTACAGGAGGTGCCTGTCACCTGTGTGTTCTTTGAACTCGATGAAAGCCTCCCTCCTCTCCAAACTTATACTTCTGCAGTCTCACCGGCTTCCCTACAGGCTTCCTCTGTGACCTCCTCACCTCTGGAACGGGACTCAAGTTGGCTGGACAGTTTACTATATGCTAGGCACTGCTGGTCACTAAAACAGCCAATGCCCAAACTAGAACGTGGTAGAGCTGGGATTTAGTACACTGACGTGGCAGGTGCTCTGCGAGGCTCACCTGTGCCCCCCAGGCGCGATTCGATCTCGATGCCAGGATACTGCTCCTTCACAGCACTTGCCAGCTCCAGGTAGGTCGCCTCGAAGCCGCAGGGTTCACTAGGGAGAAGATACCCGGGGTCCGCTTGGGTTTCAGAAGAGGGGCCTCCCGTGGATCCACCCTCGTCCGGGACGGAACCCCACCAGCCCCAGCCGCTCACCAGTACTCCACCACGATGCGGACTCCACTGCCTGGTTCGATCTCCCTGGGATGGGGCGCTGCGGACGTCGGCCCCAGGTCCCCGCTCATTGCTGCCGGCTCTGTTCCAGTTGCTGCTTCCGGGTGTGACGCAACGGCGCGGGCACGTGAAGGGGCGGGGCCGCGCGTTACGTGCGGGTGCCCCCTGCAGGCTGCGACTGCTGCTCGGTTTTGATCCTATCCTCAGCTAGAAGGCTCTGGGATGGGTGGGCCTGCTCAGACCACCTTACCTGTGCGCGGGTTCTCCGAGCCCCAGGGCTTGTCCCGCACCTGGTGTCCGCTAGACTTCACAGCCTCATTTAACCTGATGAAATATCTTAAACTGCAAAGCGCTTTTCAGGAAGAGACTATGGGGTTGGCTGGGGTTGGCTGACGGTATGGAACAGTTGCCATTTCTCGCTAACAAGATGAAGACATTTTAAGCCATCCTATATATATATATAGTCACACTCAAGTATTTCTGACTCTTAAACTCTGAACTCTAGACATAACCTAGGGCAGTGACCAACTCTCTCCTGCATTCATAAACCATAGGCCTTGGGGTTCCCCCTCCTCAGGCTCTATGTTCCCTATCACATGTACACACACACCCGCCATCCCAGCTTCACTACTGTCTGGCATCATTATTCCCATTTTGCAGCTCTAGAAATGGAGGCTGTCTCTCTGTCCCTTCCCTCCCTGGAGTCCCACAATATTCTACTTACAGGTCACCCATTCCGACATCTCTTTAAAACATTTAAAAACAATGACTTACAGAGTTGTGTGAGCATCTACGATCCAGTTACAGAACATTTCCATCAACCTCAAAAGGTCCCTCCTGCCTGTTTGCAGTCAATCTCAGCTCCAGCCCTAGGTACCCACTGATCTGCTTTCTGTCTATAAATTTGTATTTCCTGGGCATTTCATATATTAAATAGAATGATATAATATGTGGTCTTTTGCTTCTGGCCTCTTTATATTATTTTTTTCTTTTGTTTCTTCTTCCTCCTCCTCCCCCTCCTCCTCTGCCTGCCCCCCTTTCTTTGTGGCTTCTTTTGTTCAGTATAGTTTTGAGGTTCATCCACGCTGTAGCATGAACCAGTAGTTCCTTTTTCGTAGCGGAGTAATATCTCATTATATGCATATACCACCTTTTGTTTAGTCAATACCAGTTGATTGACATTTGGGTTTCCAGTTTGGGAAATGAACCGTTCACTTCTGAAAGGATTCCAGTGTTCAAGTTCCAGTCATGTCCTAATTCTTTGGTTCCATGGGGAGGAGCAAGACTTTCATTCCGGGTACAGCTGGAGGACAAGAAGATCCGGTGCTAAAGCCCTTTACCATAAATGGCCAAGTTCCAGGGTCCTCCAATTAAAACTCCCATCAACGTTTTCTCATATCTGTTTCCCCTTCCCTTTAAAAACCCACCCATTATTCTATTTTTGAATAATGCTGCTATGAACTTTCAAGAAGTATCTTTATGTGTCCATGTGTTTTCAATTCTCTTGGGTAGATTCCTAGGAGTAGAATTGCTGGGTTGTACAGTAAGTTTATGTTTAACTTTTTAAGAAACTGCCAAACTGTTTTTTGAAGTGGCTGTACCATTTTACATTTCCACCAGCAATACATGAGGATTTGTTTCTGCATATCTTTGTCAACATTTGTTGTTTGTCTCTTTGATTCTAGCCATCCTGGTAAGAGTGAGATGGTATGTCGTTGTGACTTTAATTTCTCTAATGACTAATGATGTTGAACACCTTTTCATGTGTTTACTAGCCATCCTTATATCTTTAAGAAAACATCTATTCAAATATTTTGCCCATTTTTAATTGAGTCGTTTGTCTATTATTGATTTGTAAGAGTTATTTATATATTCTGGATACAAATTCCATAATCTAATGTGTGATTTGCAAATAT